GGCCCCAGCCCTTCTTCCCTCAGACCCAGACCCAGCCCTCTTTCTTTAGAAGTGAAAAGCTGGATCACTCCAGACCTCACCCTCCACTCCTGCTGCAGCCATGAACATTTTATAAGTCGTATGGAGCAACTGCCGACCTTTCAACAAATCTAGGAAGGTGGCGGGGAAAGGCTGTTCTCACACAGAAGACAGCCAATTTCTCCACCCTGCCTCCCTTATATTTCCTACCCCCCTACACACACATGTGCTGGACTCACATCCAAAGTAACAGGAGAGGAAGAAGATGAGGATAAAGATGAGGAGGAAGGTCACATCTGTCTCCAGGATCCCTGAGATTTGGTGGAAGGAGGAGAGGGCTCTTTGAGTGGGGGTCTCTCAGCAGACACCTGTTCTGAACTCCCATGAAGATCCTGGCTCCTGTTCCCCAGATAGGTGCTCACCAAACTCATCAGCAGAGAAGTGTCGTGTCCAGAAGGACTTGCCATTGGTGAGGACCATTTCATACTCCAACTGCAGCCCATCTCCCTGTGGGGAGTAGGGGGACCTAAGGGAGCTTCTGGGCAGGTAGGGAGTCAGCAGGAAGGCAAAGAGGAGAAGGCCCAGGTGGCTGCCCCAGCCCCTTACCCCACACTTGCTGAGAGCGATGTACCACCACCTTTCACGAACAGAGCGGAAGCTGCGGCCACTGGAGCAGCTCAGGTAGCGGGTTCCCTCCTCTGACACCACCTGGGGAGGAGCCAGAAGGTTGAAGCCTATACTGTACGCCTCCAGGCCCTTGACCTTCAGCACCTGCCCACTCCCCCCCCCCCCCCCGCACCTGACAGCCTGACCAGGCATACTGGGTGGTGAGGTTGATGACCTGGTTGTTCTCCGGCCTGATCACTGATTCCTTGGCCAGGCAGTCCTGGAGAAGGCAGGGACAGGGTCACTCCCTGGCCAGCCATGACCTTCTGCCCCTCCCCCTTCACCCTCCTCACATCCCTCACCTTGTCCCTTGCCTTGTACACTGCTGGCCACTGGGATGGGTCGTCGAAATAGAGAAGGATGTTCTGACAGCACTTGGCCTGCAGACCCAGAGGTTTGGGGGTTGGGGGGGTGGTACAGGAGCTGGAGAGGCCTTGCCTTGGAGTGTCCAGCCTGAGCTTGGTGAGTGGCTGGGGGAGACTTACCTCGGGATAACGGAAGCGGAAGTCCAGCCGACCATAATCCGAGAGGAAACAAAATCTTGTCAGGAACACCCAGTCCTGGCAAAGGGACCCAAATCAGACCCTATCCTGAGTCCTTTGAGAACTCTCAACTCCATAGACCCCCAACTTTTCTTCCCTGCCCTCAGGTACCTGGCCTCCTAAATACCGCAAGTCGCTTCCAAAATTCTTTCCAGATCCCTTCACGGTGGATCCAGGATTCCTGACACCTTGATTTCCTCTCTCACAGTCCCCCCACCAAATTTCCTCTACTCACCCCCCCACTTCCCAAGCACCCTGAGAAAGACCCTCGAAGGCCAAGTGCACATCCTCGCCCTCTGTCGCGCCCACCTTCCCACCCACCCGCATTCCCCCAGTTACACGCACACACCCCGGCCCCACGGTGGTCCCAGAGAACGCCCGGTGCAGGGGAATCTTCCGAACCGTCCCGGCCCTGAGCGCGCCGGTGGTGTGGTGAACTGACTCTCTGCGGAGTGAGGGGTGCTGTCCCTTTCAGCACCACCTCGGCGCACCCCCGCCCCAACTCCGACTCTCCCACCGCCCCTTCCCCACCCAGCTCTGAGCTCAACGTCCCTAATGCAACCCCCAAGTCTTGCCTCAACCCCACGGCCCTGCAGCCTTGATCCTGGCCCAGTCCTCCCATCGCCCAGGCCCCAGGCCCGCGCTGCTCGCAGGTCCTCCCGGGAGGGGCGGCAGGGGGCGGGGCGCCATCCTCTCCTCTCTGGTCCCCACCGCCCGGCGGCTGCAGGGGAGGGGTCGGGGGGACTCACCTCCTTGGAGCTGAGGTTGCCCCGCACGTACTTGGCCCGGGCACGGGGGGGCAGTGGCAGCAGCAGGAGCAGCAGCGGTGGCAGCAGGCGGCGCAGCGCGGGCGCTCGCGGGGGCTCCATTCCGCCGGCTTCGGCCCGTGCTCCGCTCCGGCTCCCGCTCGGGCCCGCGACACAGGCGAGAGCGCGCGGGCCGGCCAGCGCGCGCCCCCGATTAAAGGGGCCGCTGGGAGCAGCGATCCCCTCCCCTTCCTCCAAGGTGGCCCAAACTGGCCCCTGCCCTCCTCACCTGAGAAAGGACGTCCCTTTCTGATCCTTTGTCACCCAGCCCCACCTCCAATCCTCTCCTCTGGGACATTCTTCCCGTGTCTAAACTGAGCTCACATTCTTCCCAAGCAGGGAGGGCCTCCTCCAGAGCGCCTGGGATGGCTCACAATCCTAGACTGAGCTCCATTCTGCCCTCCTCTACCAATCTAGTCCCCAAACTATTCTTTGATTACCCACTCCTGATCATTGGCAGCCACTTCCAGCTCTCTAGGTCCCTGAGTTGCCACCGCCCCAGATTCAGTACACCTTGTGAAGTGCCCAAGAAGGCACAGACCGAAGCCACTTGTTCTGGGTTAACATCACAGAGGTGGCAAAGCCACAACTTCTGCCAGACCCAACTGCCTGTCACTTCTTAGCAGGGTGTGAAACCTACTAGCTGAGATAGAGGTGTGAGATATCCAGGATCATGAATTCAAAATACCTGGGTTCAAATCCCAGCGTGGCCACTTTCCCACCCTAGGACTTCTGCCAAGCCATTCACCCCTGTGATCTCCCAGTCTAGTCCCTTCTGTGCTGGTATGGGCTCTGGGTTTCCAAGTGGGCAATCCAGGGCCATGGAAAGGTTTTCCAGGGTAGAGTACAAGCTCTTCAGCTTGATTTATCCTGATTAGATTCCAACAAACATTTCCAGCTCATTCCTTACCCTCACTGCAGAAAAACTGCTGCTGCTCAGAATGCCATTTGAAAAAAAAGAACTTTATGCTGGGCCTATAGTCCCAGCTCTGGAAGCTGAAGGAGGATCAAAAGGTCCAGGCCAGCCTGAGCTACATTGTAAGACCCTGTCTCAAAAAAAAAAAAAAAAAAAAGCTTTCTAAGATAAGGATTGAAGGAGGAAATGTAAACATGCATATACTCACACAGAAGTTTCAATGTAGAGTGCAGGATTTCTGCTACATGGCCAGTTATTGCCAGATGAATTATAGATCTGCTGCCAGAGGTTTTTTTTGTTTTGTTTTGTTTTTCCCAGTACTCAGGACCTGGTGCTTGCTGGGTAATAAGACCTACCATATGCCCCAGTGCTTTTGCTTTTAGTTTGGTTTTCAGGTAGGGTCTCCTGCTTTTGCAGGGGTCTGCCTTGTCACCTTCCAAATAGCTGGGAATCACAAGTACATGCCACTGAGCCTGGCTTGTTTATTTATTGTTATTTTTTGGTGGTACTGAGGTTTTGAACTTAGGGCCTTGTGCTTGCTATGAAGGCACTCTATCACTTAAGCCACACCTCTAGCTCCAAAGAACTTTTTTTTTGGCATAGGTGCTCTACTGCTTGAGCCACACCTTTAACCCCAGCTTATTTTTAATAGGATCTCATTTTTTCCAAGGGATGGCCTTGAACCTTGACCTTCCTATCTCCACAATAATAACTCGGATTACAGGCATATACCACCACGCCGAAACTTTTGTTTTTTTTTTGCAGTACTGGGGTTTGAATTCAGAGCTTGCAATTGGTAGGCAGGTGCCCACTTAAGCCACACCACCAGCACTTTTTGTTTTGGTTATTTTTCACATAGGGTCTCATTTTATGTCAGGGCTACCCTGGACCAGATCCTCCTATATATACACCTCTTTGGTAGACGAGATGACAAGTGCATACATCCAGCTTTTATTGATTGAAACAGGGTCTCAATCTGGCCTCTGAGGCACCCCCCCATCACCACCTCCCAAGTAGCCAGAAATGCAATTTTTAAAATGCAAAAACCTGATTTGTGTGTGTGTGTATGTATGTGTGTGGTGCTGGGGTTTGAACTCAGGGTCTACACCATGAGCCACATTGCCAGCCCAATTTTTTTGTGATGGGTTTTCAAGATAGGATCTTGAGAACTATTTCCCCAGGCTGGCTTTGAGCCATGATGCTCCTGATCTCTGCCTGTTGAGTAGCTAGGATACAAGTGTGAGCCACCAGCACCCAGAAAAAAAATGATTTTTAACAGTAGACAATTCATTCAAACATCTAAAGTGGGTCAGAATCAGCCCTGATCTGCCTGCCACCAGACCGGGAGTCATTCAAGGGCAGGCCCAAGTGTGCCTCATTCTAGGTCACAGCATGGCCAGGGATAGGTACTGAATGAAGATGATCCTACATAGCCTATGTGTCCTCCTTCATGCCTTTGCATATGCTGTCCCCTTGCCTTAAATGTTATATTCTGCCAACTAATAAGTTGAAAAATACAGGGTCTGTGTCAGCTACTCTACAAAGTCATCAGTCCCTCCTTCAACTCCCCAGCCCTGTATCTCTCTCCGCCAGGTGCAAGCCCTGGAGCTGGGACTGTGTGCCCACCACTGGACTGAGAGTCTCAGTCTCACTCTGGGACCTACCATCACTAGAGCTCAGAGTCAGGTACCTAGTTAGCCACAATGTGTATATGTGTTGGACAAACTGAAGCACTAAGTTTCCCCATCCTGCTGGCCTCTCAGGCCCCAGGAAGGTGACAAGTAATGGCAACTTTTTTGGGGGGGGGCAGTACTCGGACTTGAACTCAGGGCCTTGTGCTTGCTAGGTAAGTGGTCTACTACTTGAGTCATGCCCTCAGTCCTGACAAGTGATAGCACCTTTCCCTCCATCTTGGCCCTAAAATTCAGAGCTAAGGAAAGCTGCATTCCTAGCTCAGGTATTCATTGAAAATCAAGAGGACCCTGAAGAAGGTACTTTATTGAGGTGACTGGGAGTATGGGATATATGCTCCCAGCCCTAGCCTCATTCCCCTCAGTACAGTCTCATGGGGGGAAAGGACCAAGCTTCTGGACTGCTCTGAGCCACCATCCAGGAGAGGCTGGGCAGTGGGGCAGGGGGGCTGGGGCTCCAGTCCAGTGCAGATGTTTGGGGAAACAAGGGTGATGGCTGAGGTAGGGGCTGAGTTGGGCCAACATCCCAGGGCCGGGGAGGGGGTGGTGTGGCAATAAGCCAGATGCTTTTCAGCAGGTCAAAGGCTGTGGGGGGACCCAAAGCTGCCCCAGATGGCGAAGACAACAAGGGCAAGGAGGGTGGCCAGGGACCTCTAGGCAGCGGCAGGCTCACCCTGTGCGCAGTGGGGGTGCTGGAAGTATGAGACATGGCAAAGGCAAGCTCCTTTTTCCCATGTCGGGTCCTCTGCCTCCCCTCTCTTGAGGCCTGCTCAGGGCCATTGATCCAGGAGGGTGTCATCCTTCCTCTCTCAGGGTCCCCAGGCTTGGTCCCTGGCACAGAGGAAAGAAGCATGGGAGACAACTGGGCTAGAACAGAGAGGGGAAAAGGGAGTTCAAGGAACCGGAGGTGGGCTCACCTGGCAAGGGTGCCTGGCAACCTCGCAGTACTAGGGCAAGGTCAGGCACAGAGCCATGGCAGGCCTGTAAGGTTCCCACGATGGCATCCCTGGCCTCCTGTACCAGGTTCCTCCTGGGGAAGGCCTGTGGCAGAATCAGCTGACACTGAAGTTCCCCCAGTAGCTGTCCCAAGTCAGGGAGTTCTGGGGAATTAGGTGGGCCTGGGCCCAAGCATCCAGGCACCTGGTTCTCCTTGTCCCTTGGCTGTGAGGCTGGTTCTTGGATCCTGCCTGAGCCGGAGGAAGGCTTATTGGGGAGCAAGGGGGTGCCTGGTTCCAGGGTGCCACCATTAAGCAGCCTGGCCACGTCCAGGGATTTCACCTCATGGTTGAAGAGACCCCGATGCTCCCGACTCAGCCGGCCCTGGGTTATGACTACAAGTTTGGGGACCACAGGATCCTGGAGGGCCACAGGTGGATCCCGGCTGGACTGAGGAGGATCCTGACGGGCCAATGGCCGATGGCTGCCCACAAGGGCCTTATTCCGCTCTCGCCTGGTCTTCCGACGATGGACACGGCCAGGTTTCTCAGACTGCTGGAAAGGCTGAGAGGTTGGCCTCCGGGGGTCCATGGTGCAGGTAAGTCAGGGTGAGTAGCAAAGTGACAAGAGATGGTTGGGGTGAGGTGGGAGAACTATCTAGACACAAAAAGAGAGAAAGAAAGTGGGTGGAAAGCAATTGGAAAAGGCCTGGCCAGAGGAGGAGTCCTGGATGAGGTCAAGATAGTAATGCTTAATAGGAAGAGATGTCAGGGAATGGAGAGGGCAACTGGGAACAGGGACGCAGGGAAATGAAAGAAGACAGAAAGGGATCATGAGAATGGAGGGATGTGAGGGATTAGGATATGGTTTTTGGACAGAAGAGAAATCCAGAGGTACAGGTGGTACAAAGATGCAGAAAGTGGAGAAAGATGGTAGATAAAGAAAGGCAGGAAAGAGGGCAGCAAGCGAAGCTGGAGAGTCCGAGAAAACCTCCGGGACAGAAAAGAGACAGAAGGGATATCAGGGAGAGAAGGGACTGGTCCTGAGGGCCGGCGCATGGCAGGAGACAGGCTGGGGCAGTTGCGGTAGAGCAAGGGGCAGAATGATGGGGGTGGGGCACGGTTGGTGTGGGCAGTGTGGAGGAGGAGGCACCTCATTCTTTTCTGTCCCAACAAACCCCTCCCCCTACTCACTCCACTTGGCTGTGTAGAACAATGGCTTCTTTTCCGCAAGGACACCAGCCTCGAACCCACCCGCACCACGATCTTCCGGGCCTCGGGCTCGTGTCTGGGCCTCAAGCGCACCACACGCACGTGCACGTACGTACGCACGCACGCACGCACGCGTGTGGTTTACCACGCCCTTTGGCTTTCAGGCTCCCTACAGAGGCGCGAGGCCTTATAGACCCGCCCCTACCTGCCAGTCTTACTGGTTCTTGGTACCTCCCCGTCCACCAATTGGCTGTGAAGTCCTCTTGGCCCACCTCTTCCTGAATGCTGATTGGCTTAGGCCAAGATGAAAGGCACACGCAGAGGAGCTATAATCACTTACCCACCCCGCTCTAGGCAAAGACTTTGTCCCTGGAGAGTCAGGTGCTGTAGTGTGTGATTCAGAGCTAGGCTCTGGAGCTAGACTACCAAGGTTCAAGTGCTCTAGTGCACATTTGAGTTGCGGGACCTTGGAAAATTTTGTAACCCCCCCAAACCTCAGTTTTCTAATCTGTAAAATGGGTTGGTCCTAGCGTTTCTAGAAGAAGGGACTGAATCAATGTACCTAACTGGAAACAGTGCCTGATGAACAAATGCTTGGAAGCTTTATTTCTTATTTCGCTTTGTTTCAGAACTCTCCCTCCTCTCCAATTTTTCTGTCTACACTGTCCCCTCAGGCTTTAATTTTTAATTTTTTTTTTTTTTGCTCTACCGGAGTTTGAACTCAGAGCCTACACCTTGAGTCATTCCACTAGTCCTTTTTGTGAAGGTTTTTTTTTTTGAGATAGGGTTTCGTGAACCATTTGCCCGAGCTGGCTTCGAACCTCGATGCTCTTGATCTCTGCCTCCGGAGTAGCTAAGATTACAAGTGTGAGCCACAGGTGCCCGGCTAATTTTTTGATATTTTGAGATAGGGTCTCAGCTGTGTAGCCCAGGCTGGCCTCCAACTAGTCATCCTCCAGCCCCAGCCTCCCAAATGCTGGGCTTACAGGTGTGTACCAACACACCTGGCCCTTTCAGATTTTAAAATTAAACTATGCCAGGCTGTTTCCCTGTCCTAATAAATAATAATATAACCTGTGTGTATCTTTTCTTTCTGCTTGCCCAATCTTCGTTATCCCTCAAACCCCATTCATACTTCTAGACAACTCCCAGCCCCAGAGTCCTTCTCTTCCTCCTCTCTCAGAGGTCCCCTGTACCTCTCTCAGTCACAACTTTGTCTGGATCTGTCTCCTCAACACATGGATAACGCCAGGATTCGAACCATTCATGTAATATTCATTCAGAAAGTACAGTACTTGTTTGAGTAGACACTGTGTGCCAGGTCTGGGTCCAAGAAACTGGAATGAGACAGACGTAAACACAATAAGTAAGACTCATCTCTTAAGTCTCAGTGTCAGTTTTCTGAGAAGGTGGAGTTACAAGACAATGACCAGAACCTTTAGGGGAGAAGGAGACCCCCACTTGGTCCCAGAGAACAGGGCGATCTGAGAAGATACTGAGGTCTGAAGCTAATTTGGAGCAAGGATCCAAAGGGGCATAACCCTAAGTGACCCTGGCTATGGATGGGAATTTCAGAGTCCAGACACACCCAGTTTGAAGTTGTTGGTCACCCTGTGTTTAGAGAGAGGAGCAGAGACCACAGATCTGCAAGATGATCTTTGGGAAAGATGCCAAGCTGGACGAGGGCCCTGCAGGCATCTCCAATTTCCTTTCTCTTTTTCACTTTTTTCTTCCTTCCACTTAGATCTTGTGGTTTCTTGAATGCAAATATGTTGTTTAGATTTTATGCCATTTAAACAAACAAACCTGGTGCTTTGAGTCGGGGAAGCCCACGAGCTAAGTTCCCTTTAGAACTGAGCCTCTGATCTTCTCGTTTTTCCATTTATTTATTTATTTTTTATTTTATTTTTATTGTTTTATTATTCATATGTGCATACAATGCTTGGGTCATTCCATTTTTTTTAATGCCCCCACATTGGTAGAAAATAGGAACGTCCCCTTCCTAACCAGGTGCGTCCAAGCCATCCCTTCAAAGGATCCAAGAATGAACTCGTCCACTCGCTCTCCCACGTGAATGGGCCTCCTCCCTCCTCCCCACACACACAGTAGGTGGCACCTGCCGCCGTTTTCTTCCCTTACAACAAACGGTTTATTTTCTTAAGGAAGAACGCTAGATTTTCCTGACCCACTCTCGGCTTTTCAGGTACATAGCCCCTCCCCGTGACGCCAATGGGTGGTTTCTCCCTCTCCCCCCCCGCGCTACGGGTGCCGGATGGTCTCGCCCGCCCCTCCCCCAGTGCCGGGCTGCGCTAGCCGCCGCTGCCGGCGCGAGTGAGTGGCCTCGGCGGGAAGCGCCGGACGAGCCCACTGCGCGGCCGTCGTGGGGGAAGTGAGGCTTCCCAATTCCACCTCCCTCTTAAGGTTTCCGCCCCTGGAGAGGAGGAGGCGCCCTGGATCTGCCTTCGTTCTCAGCGGGAGTGAGAGCGTCCGGACCGTCCATTGTTGCTCCAAGGGGTAGGAGTGGGCGTGGTGGAGCCACCTCCTGCGGGAGCACTCCCAGGTCGACCCCACTCGCTCATCCGTAGGAGCTACGTCCTCGAGATGAGCGGCGAGGAGAATCCAGCCAGCAAACCCACGCCGGTGCAGGACGTGCATGGCGACGGGCGCTGGATGTCCCTGGTGAGCGATCCCGCCCGCGGTGCTTCAGGGGTCTGCAGGGGGTGGGGGACTCAAGAGAACAGCTGGTCCGTGTGTTCTTGTCACCTGATTGGGAAGCCGAGGGGAGTTGGGGTCGTGCTGCCTGAGGAAGGAGGGCGGGGCGTGTGTGCCATTGACTGCCCTTTGCGCGTGCCTGCAGCACCATCGGTTCGTGGCGGACAGCAAAGACAAGGAGCCCGAAGTCGTCTTCATCGGGGACTCCTTGGTCCAGCTAATGCATCAGTGCGAGGTAGGCCTGTCCCTAGCCTTCTGCCCCACCCCGGCCTGTTCTCTCATGGACACATCTGACCCAGAACCCGGGTCAGGCAGAGTAGGGGGTTCGAGAAGTGGCCCGAGGCAGCAGGACACTTAGAATCTCCATGACATTCTGCTGAGAAGGAAGCGTGTGCTCTGAGTTAGCAAGACTTAAAATAAGGCTTTCTTGAAAGAAGATTGCCTAAGGTGAGGCTCTTTGTTTGCTTAAGGAGAGCACTGCCCTCTTGGGTTTACCCAGAGCTATAATCGTTTTACCAAAAGTGAAGTTGAGCTGTAACAGTGCTCCACAAAGAGAATCAGTCATAGTATCTTTCCACTAACCAAGGTTCATCGTGATGGCTTTCCTCAAAATAAGGTTCGGGTGTAAGCCTGGCATAGTGGCTACTGGGAAGGTGGAGATCAGGAGGATCACAGTTCAAGGCCAGCCCCAGCAAAAAGTTCAATCAATAAAAGTTGGGTGTGGCGTGGTGCACCCGTCACCTCAGCTTTCAGGGAAGCATAAATTGGAGGATCATAGTTAAGACCCTCCAAGCATAAAGCAAGACCCTCTCTCAAAAATAACCAAAGCAAAAAGGGCTGTGAGTGTGGCTCAAGTGGTTGAGTGCCTGCCTATAGAGTGCAAGGCCCTGAGTTCAAATCCCAGTACTGGAAATAATAACAATAATAAAGTTCAAGTGTAATGCTACTGTCTGCATGCATGGCTTCAGCAGACCAGATTTCCGTCAAGTCTTGCCTCTGTGGGGTTTGGTTTAAAGTAAGACTATAAGGTGAGATTAACTGAACTGCCTGTACAAAGCAAGCCTTTCTGTAGTGGCATTTGGCTTACCACACCTGGATATGTTGAGGATGACCTGTGCCCACACCACCTCTTGCCCACAGATCTGGCGGGAGCTCTTCTCTCCTTTGCATGCACTTAACTTTGGCATTGGTGGTGACAGCACACAGCATGTACTGTGGCGTCTGGAGAATGGGGAACTGGAACACATTCGGCCCAAGGTGAGCAGGGCTTGTGTGGGGAGCTGAAGCACCTTTAGTCCACCTCCTTAACACTGCTTTCTGCCCCCTCTTTCCACAGATTGTAGTGGTCTGGGTGGGCACCAACAACCACGGGCACACAGCAGAGCAGGTGACTGGCGGCATCAAGGCCATTGTGCAACTGGTGAACCAGCGGCAGCCCCAGGCCCGGGTCGTGGTGCTGGTGAGAGGCTGGGAGGGTTGGAAAGGAAGAGTGGCAGTAGTCTGGGAGCACCTATGTGTATCTTGCACAGCTCTGGGCATCTTGGCACAGCACAGTGACTTTACAGGACAAGCTCAAATGGAAGCTTACTACACCTGTAAGAGTGGCTGCGATTGAGTCTGTATTCAGAAACCAATTAGCCCGTTTTGCCCAAGGGGCATGCTGAAGATTCTGAGGATTTTTATAAATATAAACTCAAAAAAACACTTAGGTAGCCCAGATTTTTTTTTTTTTCTAGTACTGGGAATTGAACTCAGGGCCTTGCACATTTAAGCCACACACCCAGCCCACAATTCAACTTTTTTTTTTCAGTTTCACAATGTAAATTTTTTAATAAAACAGTCCTACAGCATTTATTGTCAGCAAAACAGTTATGCCTGACTGAGCATGGTGGCACACATCTGTAATCTCAGCTACTTATGGTAGAGGTAGAAAGACTGGTTTGAGGCCAGCCTGGGCAGAGTTATGAAGACATTGTCTCAAAAACGGACTAAAAGCAAAAGAACTGGGGGTGTGGCTCCAGTGGTGCAAGTCCCTGAGTTTAGTCCCCAGTACTGTAAAAAACAACTGAAAACACTTAAAAGTATTTTAGAATTACAGTTCCAGCAAAGGACACCTAAAAAAAATGTATTGCCTTCTTAAATGTCAACATTTTTATGAGTGATTCTTGGGAAGGAGGCTGGGACCCAGAATGTTTGTGCTGAAGGGGAGCTGGGACATAGTATCAGAAACTGTCCTGCTCTTCCTGCTTTCCCATCCGTAGTGTATTTGGCAGCTGGGAACTTCACGGTTGGGAGTGGATAGTTTGGCACAGAGAAGAGGGAAACCAGATGCCAGTAGAACATCTTAAGAATCTGTGTTTTCGGGTTGGAGGTGTAGCTCAAGTGGTAGAATGCCTGCCTAGCAAGTATGAAGCCCTGCGTTCAAATAAAAAAAAAAATTAAAAGGGTCTTGGTGTTCTTCCTTAGGGCCTGCTTCCAAGGGGCCAGCACCCCAACCCACTTCGAGAGAAGAATCAACAAGTGAACGAGCTGGTACGGGCAGCATTGGCTGGCCACCCACGGGCCCACTTCTTGGATGCTGACCCTGGCTTTGTGCACTCTGACGGCACCATAAGCCATCATGACATGTATGATTATCTCCATCTGAGCCGCCTGGGCTACACACCTGTCTGCCGGGCCCTGCACTCCCTGCTCTTGCGCCTTTTGGCCCAAGACCAGGGTCAGGTAGTCCCTCTGCTGGAACCCACACCCTAGGCATCTCGCCTTCCCATATTAAATTCTCCTTCCTTAGATCTTGCCTCCTGCTTTATGGCTGAGCACGACTGGGTACCACCTCCAGATCTGCACTCTGATCTGTAACCTAGCAGTTCCTCAGTGGTTCTGGTTCTGCCTGACACAGGCATCACTAATCCATCAAGGCACGCTCGTTCTTGCAGTTAGGTAAATTTCTACTATCATAAGTGTGCTTCGGGCAGGTGCTACCAATCATTGAAGGTTTGCCAGCATTACCCTGTTAGGGTCAAGATCAAACAGGAGGGGCTGATGAAGTGGCTCAAGTGGTAGAGCAACTGGCTAGCAAGATGAGGCCCTGAGTTCAAACCCCAGTGCCACCAAAAGATCAAACAAATTCTAGAAACAATGATCCCAGTTAAACCCACCATTTATCCCTCTTCTCAGCCTACACTATTCCCCTAGGTGGAACTTCTAGGTGCTCTGACCCTAGGTTAGATGCCATTTCCAGATCCTTTCCTCACCAAGTAGTGGTGGTCCCGGCAGTGTGCAGGTATGTGTCTCAGGTGAGCACCATGTTGTCCAAAGGCTGACTGGGAGGAGTGACCCCATCCCCAAGTTCCTCCTCCTGGGTGCAGTGGTGGCTCAGGCCATGTGAGTGCAGCAGGGGTCACTGGGGACAGCTCAGTACTCTAGTCTGGCCTCAAGTACGGCCTCTAGGCTAGGACCTGTTTTTTTTTGTTTTTGGCAGTACTGGAGCTTGGACCACTTAAGCCACACATCCAGCTAGGATCTGTGTCTTCAGTAAACCTGAGTCCACAAGTGGTGGGGTGGACCACTTCCTCCAAGATCACAAATGTTCAGGATGGGGGATCATGGTTCCCAGATGGAGAGGCTGCCTCATCTAGACGCAAGGACCTTGGCCCTCAGGAGCCCTGTAATGCTGAAGTGTTGGGATTACTCCCCTACTTTGTGGAAGTGCACTGCTCCATGACTGTCTAGGAACAGGACTGGTACAACACCTTCCTACTTGGGGGCAAGTAAGCAGCCACGCAGGTGTGTTAAACAGCTTTAATCTCGGTCATTTCAGCTTCTCAGCACAGTAAGAAATATTGCACATGATCAACATGTTTTGTTCTGGGGGTGGGGAAAGGGTGGGGAATCACCTTCTTAGAAAGTACAACCCAAGTTGGGCGGGCAGAGGGGGTGGAGAGAACCCTCCCCATGCCTGTGGCAAAGTACAGGAGCCCCCACCCGAAACTAACCTGAGTCCAGCCCCTCTGGGGGAAAAAAGGGGTGCATGAACTCCCTCTGCTCCACAGGCACCTCCCTGGGGCCAAGGCCCACACTACCCTCCAGCTTGCAGCCCTCATATGAGCCATTTTGCATAAAGTCCAAGTGAAAAGCTCTGAAGGTCACATACTCCAGGTTATATACAGGGACTCAGTGGAGGCTGTGCCCCTGTTTCCCCTCAGCTGCCCCCCCCAGCACAGGGAGGGAGTTGAGGGGAGGGAGTATTTACAAGGGGAGCAGGCTTCATTCCGCCCCAAACTAGAAAGGACGAAATTGCTTTATTGGGAAGGAGGTAACCATCTCCCCCCCCCCCCCCCACACACACTCCTGCCACCTACAAACTGTCCGTGTCCTGAAAGAGGGGGGTTACTCTGGGTCCTGGGATCTTCTCAAGGGTCCCTCACCTGCCTGTGGCAGCTGTGGAGGGGCCTGAGGGTGGGGGGGAGGGCTGGGGGGTCCCCTCCCAACCAGGCTGTCCCGGCCCTGGCTCTGGGGGTGGAGGCAGTGGTGGGGCAGCCTGGGCAGTGCCAGAGTCCGAACCAGGTGAGGTGGGGTCAGGGCCCCCAGCAGGGCTGGGAGTGGGGGCAGGAGTAGCAGCGGTGCCAGTCGGGGGTGGTGCAGGGAGGGGGGCCTCAGCTCCAGGGGGCTGCTCCGTGGGAGTGGCTGCCTGCATGATCTTCTGGCGCACCTCACGGATCTTTAACTGCAGACAAACCTTGGATGGGAAGATGTCTGCATAGCGGGCCTGGAAAGCTGCTGTGGCCTGGGCTGGAGACAGAAAGATAGTAGGAAACAAATGGCAATGGTGGTACACACCTCTAATCCCACCACTAAAAACAATGAGGTAGTAAAATCCCAAGTTTGAGGCCAATCTGGGCCTCAAACAGAGATGGCAGGAAAGGCAGGGTGAGATGTCAAGACCAGCTTACCTGATGGGAAGAAGCCATGGTCCTGGAAGAGCTGCATGACCAGAGCCCGGCGCTGGTCCAGGGTACGCCGCAGCGAAGAGTAGGGCACCTTTTCATACTCCAGCTCCCCTAATACATCCTCAGCTTCGGTACCTGCCCAGGTACAGGGAGCATGGGCAAGGCTACAGCAGTAGCTGGGACCTTCTTGCCACTGACAGAATGCCCACCCAATCTGTTTTACATGGGTGAGAGAGAACCCTGCATAAGGTCACACGGTGACTTGGGCCTGCTAGACTGCAAAGTTCATCTTTGACATACTGTCCCACCTGACTGCTCCCACTGAAGGCCCTGGGGCCTCACAGTGCATGCACCTGTGCGGTCAAAGGTGAAGATGTCCCCTTCGCACTTGGCACTCTTGGGGGTGTTGGGCTCCGAGCTGCAGCTGGAGCGTCTTCTCATCTTGCGCTTGGGTGAGGTGGGGTCCTCAGGAGCTGAGTCCAGGTCTGGCCAAACAGAAGCAGGTTCAGCCGAAGTGGCCCCGGTCTGTTCCACGGCCTCTCCCCAGGACCCAAGGCGCCTGCCTACCGGTGGAGTTCTTCCTCTTCTTGCGGTAAGAGCCCAGGATGGCCCGGGGTGAGGTGGCCAGAGACTGCAGTGTGGGCGAGGGCAGCACCTCTTCTGGCCGAAACTCAGGAAGCTCAGCAAAGCGCTCTTCGAAGTCTACCTCTGACAGGACCCTGCTGGAGGGCTGGCAGGGTCACCTCCCCTGCCTCAGCCTTCAGCTGCCCCCTTTTCCACACCATCCCACACACTCCACCAAAGCCCCAGCCCCTGCTCACTTGTCCACAGAGTCAAAGGTCTTCTTCAAGGGCGGGGGCCGCACCTTCACCTTCTTGCCGGTACTAGCCGCTTCTTTGCGCTCAGGTGTGTCACAGGTTGCCCTCCCACTGCTGCCCTCACTGCTGCCACCACTGCTGCCACTGGCTGAAGCTGGAGCTGGGCTAGGAGGAGTGGGAGGCTCCCCACGAGACTCCAGGCCCAGCCCAGGGACACGCCAATCTGAAGATGAGCTGGGGAATTTGCTGGCCTAGAGTGGAGACCAGCAGGAAAAACACTGGGCTCAGACATTGGGCCAGTGGCCACAAAGAGACAAAAGCTGAGACAGCCCAACACACAGACCCTTGGAGAAGACCCAGTTCCATGGCCTCAGGAAGGCCAGGATGCAGACCTGAGATGGAAGGGGATGTAACAGACAGGCAGAAGATATTCGGGCATGGAAGGAAGAACAATAGGACAGAGGAAACTAAGGCAGCAGATGTGGGGTCAAGTTCAGCATGACGGGGAGGAACAATAAACTGTATCCCCTGTAGACACTTACCACAGTCTCAGGGACCTTGGTGCTGGTCCGCTCCTCAGCAGGCAGGGGTGGTGGTGGGCTGCTCCGGGCAGTGGGAGGCCAGGTCTCTGGTGGTGGTGGAGGGACTGGTGGTGTGAGCTGCCCCTCAAGCTCAGACTCAGGGCCAGTTGACTCTCGAGCTGGGCCAGGCTCCAGAGGCTGCCGGGGTGCAGGGCCAGGCCGCACCGGGGCACCTGCCTCAAAGGAGCCCACAGGAATGCTGGCAATGGCCGCCTTTACTTTCTGGGGGGCCTTGGGGCTAGGCCGCTGGGCCTTGGGAGCCACTAAGCTGTAGGTCATAGAGCCTGCTGGTAGGGAGAAGAATATTTTTTGAGCCAGATCTTACTGAAGCCCAATGTCCTGGGTCCCCCAATTCACACAAACCCTGCTCTAGGTCTGACACCCACCTGAGGCACTAGGAAAAGGACTAGTAGGGGCTGGGGTGGCAGTAACAGAGGCTGATGGGCCCTTGGGCAGAATGGTGGCAGCAGGAGGGGTGGTGCTGGTGGCCACAGTGTAGACCAGGCTTGGGGGTGCCTGGGATGGCTGGGCTAGCGGTGCTGAGGTGGGTGCAGGGCTGCCAGGGTAAAACGCCGTTATCACAGGACCTCCAGGGGCTGTACAGGCAGGAGGCAGCTGGGGACTAGGCACAGGCGACATGCCCACTTGGCCAGGAGCCAGGAGTGGGGTTTGGCCTGCTGGGAAAGGAAAGAGAAAAAGAAGTGAAGGACTGAGTTAGGGCCCGGGCTGTTTCAGCCCTACCCTGGCTCCCCAGCACTGCCTGCCAGGCTACCTCTCACCTGACAGCAGGGGCTGCACGAAGGTGGGGCCACTGGGTCCCAGCGAGGTGAAGCCTAGAGCTACGGAGCTTGTGGGCCCATACGAGGTAACCGTTCCAGCCTGGCTGGATGCAGGGCTGGTGCCCAGAGGCAAAGAGTGCCCGCCAGCTGACTGCACATAGGTGATTCTGCCACGGGAGAGGAAAGGAAAAAAGTGAGCCAGCTCCATCCCACTCCTACCCTGGCCTAGCCCCCAAGGGAGGGCTCAGTGGCACTCACCTGGTAGAGGAGGGCAGCAGGACCTTCTGGGGCTGGGAGGTGGTTCCAGGGAGTGTGGCTGGGCTCAGGGGCGGCACCAGGCCGCTAGGTGTGCTCACAGGCACAGGAGTCAGCTGGATGATCTGTGGGCGAAAGCACCCACAGGCTGGGGTGAGCTGAGCCCAGAGGGGGGCAGGGAGGACGAAGACCTAGGAAGGGGACTAAGCAAAAGCAGGGAACTCAGAACTTGAGATCAAGCCAGGGTGGGAAAGCTGACAGCAAGAAGTGGATGCTAGTGGCTCACGCCTCTAATCCTAGCTACTTGGAAGACTGAGATCAGAAGGATCATTACTCGAGGTCAGCCCAGGCAAATAGCTCGAGAGACCCCATCTCCAAAATAACCAGAGCAAAATGGACTGGAGGATTGGTTCAAGTAGTAGAGTGCCTGCTTTGCAAATTGAAAGTACTGAGTTCAAACCCCAGTCCCACTGGGAAAAAAAAAGATAAGGGAGGACACAAAGAACAAGCAGAGCTGGAGGCGTGACTCAAGCAGCAGTAGAGCTTCTGTCTAGCCAAGTGCAAAAATTCCTGAGTTCAGCCAGGCACCAGTGGCTCATGCCTGTAATCTTAGCTACTCAGGAGGCAGAGATCAGGAGGATCTCAGTTTGAAGCCAACCCAGGCAAATAGTTTGTGAGACCATATCTCAAAAAACCCATCACAAAAAAAGGACTGGTGGAGTGGCTCGAGGTATAGGCCTTGAGTTCAAGCCCCAGTACCACAAAAAGGAAAAAATTCCTAAGTTCAAACCCCAGTACCACCAAAAAAAAAAAAAAGAAAAGCCCGAACAAGTGCAGAGAATGAGGACTTGACAGAGAGATCAAGGAAGTCAGCAAGACAGAGCCCCAAAGAAAAACAGAAGAGACTGAAGGAAAGGCAGATACAGGGATACAGGTGTGAGACAGGATGACACCCAGCAGTGTAGAGAAGGGAAAGATGGGGCCAGTGAGGATGCCCTTACCTTGCTGGGTGGCTGGGCACCATTCTGCACAGGTACTGAGAAAGGCTGGCTCACCAGAGGCAGTGGCTGGCTGGCCCCCCCACCCCGCACTGACATGCTAGGGGTGGCCAAGGGCACTAGTACCTTCCCAGGCAGCAGCTGGGCTGAGCCACTTTGGGGCGGGGCCTGCACAGGAGAAACTGACTGCGCTGGAAGTTAAGAGACAAAAAAGCAAAAGGTTAGAAGCATCCAAACAAGCTTGTAGCCCCAATCCTTGTGCTGCCCAGTCCAGGGCAGGACTCACCTTTAGGGGGTGGGGCGGAGGGTACAGACTGCAAGATAGGGATGCCAGGAGTGGGTGCAGTGGCGGCCAGGACCTTGCCGTTGGTGGAGGTGCAGGTGCCCGGTGGGAGAGTAAAACGGATGCTGGTGGTGGGTGCAGGGCCACTGGGAGCTGCTGCCTTGGTTCCCGGGGCTGGTGCGGGTGCAGGGGCCACTTGAAGCTGCTGGGGCAGCGTGGGCAGGATGTACTGCACCTGGGTGATTCCCCCTGCCTTGCCCAGGGCACCTGGTTGTAAAATGCCCAGGGGTACTGGCCCATTGGGGCCACTCCCAGTACCTGCTCCTGAACCGGCAGTGCTCCCACTGCCAGGGGCTCCCTGGGCAATGAACTGAACAGCAGGGGGTGCAGGAGTCCCATAGCCTGGGGTGCCCACCAGCAGGTTGGTGACAGTGGCAGGGGCCTTCCCTACAGTGCCCAATAGGGGCCCAGCCACCAAATGCGGGGCTGGTGAAGAGGCTGCTGTAGACTTCTTGTCCGAATACACTAAGCTGACCCCCACTGGGGAGCCCCCAGGCACCCGAGACCCAGTGCCCATTTCAGTCCTGGCACCTGCTGTGTCATTTGGAGATACCTCAGCCCGGCCAGAGCTGGGGAAGGGCTTAGAGGCAATGGGCACAGGAGTACTGCTGACAGGCCGCACCACATTTGTGACCATGGTGGCAGCAGGGCGGGCCAGGGGAGCTGCTGGGGCCCCATAAGCCAGTGATGGGGCTGGGGCTGAGGGCACTCGGGCTCCACTGCTCTCCCTCTCCTCCTTGTTTGGGGGCACCACCAATGTCTGCAGAGTGTTTCCTCCCCCACTGGGAGGCGCTGCAATGACTGACGGGCCTGGTGGCTCCAGACTGCCAACACTTTCAGGTCTCTTGCGACGGAAGGAGGCAGGATCCGCTGGGAGAAACCGAGTAGCCTTGGAAGGTGTCACTGGGCCCCCAGCCCCAGGATGTGGGGGCCGTAGTAGGCCAACTGTGCCACCCTGACTAGACTCCTGGGCCTTGAAGGTTCCAGAGCCCAATGAGTAGGAGTTAGCTACTGAGGTTGAGGTGGTGGCAGCAGGTGAGGAGGAAGAGGATGGGGTGGGACCATAGCCTTTGCCAAAGGCTGCAGGTGGATCCGGGGGCCCTGGTGGCTCAGGGTCCAGTGTGGGACGGCAGTGGGTAAAAGAGGAGCGGATCACAGGTGAGAACACCTTACGGCCAAAGCCCTGTGTTGAAGGAAAAAAGAAAAAAACACCCAACTCAGGTGCCCGTAGGCTGACACCCACCTGTAGGCTGTCAGCAGCGCAGCCTGTCAACCAGGCCAGTTGAAGAACTCAATTGATCCTGGATATAACCCAATCCCCATGGGCTAAACAGCTTGCCCTGTCCAGACCTAATCTTACCCCGGGTCAAACACAGGAGCATTCTCACCTCCTAGAAGTGTGATGGAACAGCAGCAAGCCTCACCTTGTTGCCTTCTGGGTCCTCCCCAGAACTGTCCCCACTTTCGCTGTCAGTCACCCGTTCCTTGCACTTGAGATCAATGTCAGTGGTGCCAAAACCATCATCAGCTGAGGGAGCAGAGAGAACAGTGTAGGCAAGGGGTTGAGTCAGAGCTACCCATGAGGAAATGGTCTGGAACCTGGGTCTGGTCTCAGCTCTGCCCCAAGTGGACGGTGAGTGCTGACCAGGACAGCCCTGAACTCAGGGCTTTATGCACCTGCCCAATGCAGGACCCTAAGAACACACAGTACAAGCATCTAGTGCTGTGCCTAATGGTGCTCATGTCCTCAGGTTTCCTGCCTGGCTGGGAGCTTCCTTGAGGACAGGGCTATGTTTACTCAGCAGGACCAGAACTGATGGCATACAGTCATGAACAGATATGGAAAAAAAACAGGAGTCCAGCAGCCTGGATTCTGCCCACCTTCAAAGCCTTAGCCTACTGGTTCCCAGAAAGACCCTGGGTCCTTCAATGCTCACCAATGACATCATCATCCCCTTCTTCCTCACAGATGACCATGCGTTCCTCGTCACTGGTCATGTCCTCACTGGTTGCACGCTGGGAACGAGAGGCTCGGGTGGGCAGCAGTGGGGGGCGCCCACTGGCTGCTAAGGTGCCTCCCTCACCAGGAGCTGTGAAGGGGCCTGGAGTGCCATACTGGGTGGAAGGCTTTGAACCAGAGTACGATGTGGGACCAGACACCATCTGCAGGACAGGTAGCAGGGAGGATCAGCTGAATCTGATGCCTTGGGCAACCCTCCCTACCCAACCCCCTGGTGACCCACACCCCAAACCTGAGTCAGTTCTTGTAGTGCCTGGCTGTCTACTTCCCCACCATCCAGGCTGTGTACACCGCTGTGAGAAAAGGCTCGGGGCCGGGCAGAGCCAGGCCCCCCAACTGTGTGTAGCCGTTCTGCTCCACAGGGACCACTCCCTGGAGTCTTGGTGTCAGAGCTCAAGAGTGTCTGGGCTGCAACGGACAGGAGCTCAGACGACACTGTGAAGTAAAAGGGGTGGGGACTGTCATAGAGTCAGGAAGCCTCCCACCAGCACCTGGACTGGCCAAACTATCCAAAGATGTTTCTACCAGGGCTACCGGTGGGAAAAAACACCAGGCAGCAGCCCAGCACTTCCTTCCTGCTGGTTCCTGCCCTCTGGGGCTGCTGGAAGTAAGCCCATTCCCCTACAGCAGGCCTTCTGAGAGTGAGTAAGCCTGGAGATTGATCCATGTGGTGTTGGCTAGCTAATCACTGGCTTGAGCTTCAGTTCTCCCACTTCAGAGAGGCAGTAACACAGCCACCCTCATAGAGTGAAGTATTGTATCCACAGAATCACACCAAAAAAAAAAAAAAAAAAAAACCCACCCCAGAACACTGCCAGGTACCCAAGCAGCAGCCAATCTGGGGCATGGTGAGATACAGTGGTTCCAACCATGGTGGTGGTAGCCAACCAAACTGAGGTTTAAATACTGGCTGTGCCACTTTCTAGCCTGTGACATTGAGTGATTCTGCCTCTCTTAACCTGTTTCCTCAAATGGAAATGGTGTGTCATTTTGAGTCCAAGGGAACCCAAATTTCATGGTCTCTGGTATGTAGTAAATGCTCAATAAATATCAAATCTTGATAACAAGATTTCTATTTAGCTATCTTATCTGTCTGTATCCTCCTAGCTCCTTCATATAAAGCAGCTGTCAGTTCTTTTATGGATAAAAGTACTCAAAAGCAACATAGCAGAGAGGAGCTACTGGGGTAGGGGTGAGCAAGCAAGGGGATTGCTGGCAGCTCTCAGGGAGATGGAAGGTGGGAGAGCTAAGGAGCTGACTAACCCCCAGGGGCAGCGGCAGTGCCCGTCTCCGACATGCTCCGCTCCCGCGTCTCCTTGTGCCCTCCTGCCAGCCCCAGGCTCGTGGGCTTGGCCTCTGAGCTGGACTTCTTTCGGTCCTTGTTGCACCACTTCCAATCTGGGTGGGCCTTGAAATGGGCCTCCTTCACCTGGCAGGAAAGGGCAGGGCGACCCTTCACTCACCCACCCCATGAGGACACTGGGAGGAGCCATGGAGAGGAGGCATTACCTGGAAGGCCAGGTCGTGATACTTCTGCTTCTCTTTGGGTCCCAGGGCATACCACCATTCGCCCAGAATCTTGCTAACAGTCCGGTTATCCTGATTGGGGTGACGCTGATGGACCAAAGCCCTATGCCGCTTGCTGAAGATCATGAAGGCATTCATGGGCCGCCGGATGTGGTCCTTCTCCCGCTGAGTTAAACAGCCCAGAGCAGGACAGTTAGGACCAGGGAGACAAGCTTGGCCACAGGGTGAGCAGGGGTCGGGTGAGCAGGGGTCAGGTAGAGAGGAAATACCTTGTTAGGGCTTCTTCCATCCTTCTCTGAAGATGAGTCTCGTTCCTTGGGCAGAGCACTTAAGGACTGGGTCCTACGTTTTCCAGGTGGCAGAGGCAACTGCATCTCAGGAGACATGATGGAGAGAAAGCTGTAGGAAGGTCAGGGACAGTGAGAACCATGTCTCCAGCCACCTCCCTTGACCCCTCAACCTGTCCCAGGCCTTGAAGCACTCACGCATCATCATGGTCACTCTCTGTCTCACTATCCAACCGAGGCTCTCCTGGGGGACCAGGGGCCTCCTCCTCAGTGGTGGGAGGAGGACCTTTGCCAGGTTCCACCACCCCCAAAGTGTGTGGCAGTCCAGGTCCTGGGCTTTCAGGGCATGTGGCTCCAGGGGGCCGTCCAGGATCAGCATTTCCAGCCCCTCCTGGTGGCTGCTCATGAGCAACAGCTGCTGACTCAGCAGGTTCTGGGGGCAGAGAGGTCCATCAAAGACTCCAAAGCCACTGCCCCATCCCCATACCTTCCCTGCATCTACCCCTTACCTTTGCTCTGGCTGGAAGCCACTGGGTGGCTGGCAGGTTGTTGGGCCTCACTGGGCTGCACAGAAGGGTCTGGCTGGCTAGGTGCCAAGAAGGGGACTAAGGAGTGCCAGGGGAACACAGCCACAGAGCGAGGTTCCACATTTGTCCACACTGTGGGAAAGAGCTAGGTGAGCCAAGGAGCAGGAGTGCTTGGCCTTTACCTCTAACCTGCATGAGGTGGTTCCACCCCCTTTCTACCCTCTTCCCCAACCCACCAGCCTCTTGGGCACACCCATCAGTAAGAGACGTCACTAAGAAAAAACTTCTCCCTGAAAAGTCTCTACGTTTATAAGAGAAAACAAAGCAGAGAAGGAAAATAGTCCTCATGTTCCAGTCTCTGGATTTATCAAAAAAACACAAGCAGAGAAGGGAAACAGTACTCATGTCCCACTCCTCCCTCCCAATCTCTACCAGCGCTGCCACCAGGGACTAACCCAGAGGAACTGGCTTCTGCCACAAATCAGGTCACTCTCGGCTCCCATGCCCCACAATCTCCAATAGGCTAAGGACCCCCCCCACCTCACATTCCCAGCACCCATGTCACCATATGACACAAGTTTTCACACTGGCCTCACACTCCCTTTTCCTTTCCTGAAGCAGATAGCCCCATCTCCCCTCCCCTCCAACTCTCTATCCATCCCCCAAGGGCCATGGGGTCTCCCCTAGCCCCTTGATGTGTGGCATCCTCCTTGTCTTCCACCCTGCCTGGGTAGGGGCCAGGTGGCTCTTGCAGCTCTCCCCTCTTGCCCCCTAAACAGATTCCACAACCCAGGAGGCCTCCCAGCCTCCCTCCTTCCAACCCCAAGCCTATCTTTAGACAAGTGTCCAGCCTCCTTGACCAGAAAGGAGGCGAGGGTGTGGTAAACTCCTCAGAAAAAAAGGCACAGACAATAGAGCAGAGGAGAGAATTGTTACAAGTCTCTGCCCTGAGAAGGCAAAAGTGCCAGGTGTTTCCTTGAAGCCTCCCACAGGAAGACAATTCCCTCCCCAGGGGGCTGCTGGGGGTCCACTGGATGGCAGGAGGGCAAGCCCTGGGTTGGGACCTACCCCTGTTGGACCTCTGGGACAGGGCCCAGACTAGGAGTGGGCTTCCCCTCTCACTGCAGGCTCCCTCACAGCTCCCAGGGGAAGTGGAACCAGCAGAGCAGCAGAGGAGAGGCCCCTGCTCGGGGAAGAGGGAAGATGGGAAACGCCCCAGCCCTGATCTTCATCATTCCAGGCCTCCCCCTGATCCAGAGCAACCTGACCTGAGGTGACCCCCCCAATGCCTTCAGAAGCTGGTGCTGAGGGAGGAACTGGCCTCTGGGACTCTGAAGAACTGACAAAGCCTTCAAGGAACCGCGGGACAGGCATCAAGAAGACAACACTGAAAGGCACTCAAGACCATGACAACCCTGTCCCCTACTACCCCTGGGGGCCCCTGCAGGATCCTCCAAACACTGTCACAGGGCCCAGGGGCCAGGACCTGCTCCTACCTCCACAAAGATCTTCCTCATCAGTGACTCCTAGCTTTCAGAGAAGTGTGGAAGAAGAGACCCGGCAGACAATGGAGGACAGTCCTCAGGTCGGGTCCTGCCCACTCCCCAGCCCGCTATCCTCCAGATGTCTCGATCTCTCCCTCTTAGCAAACACAAATACTCCAACCCATAGTCCACTGTGAACAACAGTGCTTCGCTCACTCTCACGCCTGGCCTCAGCCCCACTACTCGGTCAAAGCCCCTCCCTCTCCAGTCCACATCTCCCCAGCAGGTCTCGGCTGCTCCTATTCTAATCCAGGGATCCGTCGTCTCCAATCACAACCGACCTATTCTACCCGTCACTTAAACACCTGTCCCCAGGTACTCCCCACTCCATCGTTCTGCTACACTCCCACCTGCCATCACTAACCAACCACTCGGCCCGGCCGGGCTCCAACTTTCCCTGTCACCCTGTACTCTGCCCCATCACCGTTACTCCGCACTTAGAACCCCGACACCTTGACCCCGGCAGTCCCACGACCCAGACACTACTGACCGAACATGCCGAGGCCACGGGAGGCCGCGCCGGACGCCGGCATCAGGGGCCTATGGGCCGAGTACATGGTCCGGCGCGGGGGAACCCGGCAGGGGCTCGCACCTCCTCAGCGGCCGACGCCGCTCCGCCCGCAGCCGGCTTCTTGGCCGTCGCCGCTTGGGCCCGGGGGCAGCGGGAGGCCGTCGCCGCATGCCCCCCCCCCACGCCGCCCCCCTCCGGCCGCCCCAGGCGGGGGTCTCCGCCGGGCGCGCCTGCGCACAGCGCCTGCCTCCCGCCGCCGGGGGGCGGGGGAGGTCAGCGCGCGACGGCCCCGCCCCCCCCCCGGCGCGCGCGGGGGCCGTCACGGGGCGCGCGGCACGGGGGCCATCGGCGCCGCCCCCTCCCTTTCCCTCCTCCCTCGCAGAGTCCGGCAGGCGGGGCAGGCGGGGCAGGCGGGGCGGGGCGCGGCGCGCGTGCGCGGGGGCGGCCCCCTCCCTTCCCAGCTCGCTGGCTTGCTCGTTCCCTCCCTCCCTCGAAGCTCCAGCGGGTAACGGCTCTGGCCCCGCGCGCCCCGGCTGCTGCTGCCGCCGCCCCGCCTTTCCGGGCCTTGGGCCCGCGGCTCAGCGCCGGGTCGACCTCAGGCCCCGGGCGGGCAGACGGACCAGCGTGCGTGCGTCCGTGCGCTCCGAGCGAGCCCCGCGCCGAACCACCGCCGCCTCCCCACCCCGCCACTACTACGCGCTCCCCTCCCCCCGCCGCGCCTCCCCCCGCCCCTTCCCCGCTTCCCCCGCGGCCTTCCGCGCAAGCCCGGCCCCCCAATCGTGAGCCCATTGGCTGTCGCCGCCGCGCGCGGGTCAGGCCCCACCGCGCCCGCCCCCATTGGCCGCCCCGGGGGAACGTCAGTCATATGCAAATTAGGGCAGGGCGGGGCGGACTCCGGTTGGCTTCGAGCCGGCCGGGGGCGGGCCCGCAGTAGGAGGGTGGCAAAGAGGGCGCACTGCAGCAAAGGCAGCGAGCCAGGGGGGCGGTTCGGGGCGCCGCGCTGCGGAGGCCCCGGCTTGAGTATGGTACCGGTCCAGTGCGCGCGAGGTACCTGGGCGCGCCCGGCCCCGCTGGGCAGACGAACCGTGCAGGGTGGAGCGAGCCTCCCCTGAGCCCTCCCAGTTCTCATGTGTGCGCGCGCGACACACACGCACACACGCGCACTCACAGACATACTTTCATGCCACACCCATCATCGCTTACACACAGCCACGGGCACCATCACCCGTACTGTCGGCTCACGAAGTTACACCCCACACACCTGCTCACTTAGATGTACTAACTCGCACATTCTTGGTCTTTCCCACCCACACTCATTCTCACCCATCCCCTCGCCCATTTGGTACATGCTCTGTCATATGTTGGGGAGGCATGTATCGAGTGGATGAAGAGGATGGGTGAGAGTGAGTGAAGCATCACACTCCCACCAGCCCACATGAATTACACAGACAACATAACAATCGGGCAGACCTCAGCACAGCCACTGCTTGTCCATTACACACACACACACACACAGCACCCCATCCCCCACAACATTGTGTGTGTGTGTGTGTGTGTGTGTGTGTGTGTGTGTGTGTGTGTGAGAGAGAGAGAGACTGGAGTTTGAACTCAGGGCTTTGCACCTCACACACTCTTACACCCATGCACCCACAGTCTATAAACCTACTCTCTTGGGCATTAACTACGGACTTCAGTACACAGGTTCCTTAGGCATAGGGCGCCCTTCCATCATCATCACCCAGCCCCAGCCCCACACTTATCTGCCACTCTGGACTTTTTAACTAGCAGTGTAAAGCAGGGGTCACAGAGCACCACTTGCTACCGCCCCTCCTCCCCTCAGGACACAGAGAAAGAAAGCACACTGGGCCAGTATGTGGTGGAAGACTGTCCACATTTATCTTGTTCATCGCATCCTCATGACCACCTAGGGAGGTCCATTTTACTATGCCCATTGTTCAAGGGAGAAAATGAGGCTACACTGAGTAAATTGTGTATGACCATGCAGACAGGACTGCAACAGCCCAGTACTCCACCTCAAGTGCACTTGCCATTACTCTAAACTTGACCTCAAGGTGAACACAGCAAGGACTTCCAAGCAGAGCCCAAGAACATTATTAAACAATAACACAGAGACTTAGTAAAGAACAGAAAAGTGAGCAGGCAGACACGGAAGCACAGGAAAGGATCTGGAGCCCACAGGCAAAGATGAAGAGGCCCTGAACCAACCCAGAGAACCCTGGGGCCACAGCCAGGTTTACACCTGGGCAGGTAAAAGTTGCACCCGCTCATGGATCAAGACTGGACTTCTACACAGTCTGAGTCTTTGACAACAGCAGGCAGGTAAACCCTTTTCTCAGCCTGCCCATCCAGACAGAGCTGAAGGCATGGACAGGGGGTAAAGCTGGGTAACCTGATCCCAAGGGGAAAGGAAGGTCTGTAGCCTTCTGACTTCCAGAGATGGCAGAGCCAGACACTTGGCTGAGAGCCTGCAGGGGGTACCAGTGGGACTATTAGGTGACTGCCCCCTCCTCTCTACGCAGCCCCAGACTCAGACCCTCCATTACCTCACTGCCCCAGGGACTGCAATGTGAGGCAGAATTCCAGGCTGAAATCAATGTGGCCCACTATCTTCCCACCACTGCCCCCTCCACTCCCCACCGGTGAGTCACCTACTGGCAAGTTAACCCCTTCCCAACTGCAAAGGAGCCCAGGAACCAAGCTCAAAGGAGCCCTGCTTCCCTACTTCTGTTGGGTGAGAAGTAAGAGCTAGGCATCACACAGCAGGGAAAGAGGGCCCCACACATCCGTAAAGATTGCACATCTGGTAGAAAACAGTGCCCATGAAAAAGGATGGGAAGAGGCCCCACTCCAGGCAGGGCACAACCAAGTGGGGGCCCTGCCTGGCAGAGAGGGGCGGGAATCCCGGCGGGAAGGCCCCCCCACCTTGCCCTGGGCGCTGGGCCAACCCTATACTTAGCTTCTATTGTTCAGGATGGAGGAACCCTGGGTGGGGGTGGATTAGAAGTGGAAGGGAGGGAGCTGATCCTATCCCCAAACAGTTTCCTCTCTCCAGCCAT